AAAAAAAAAAAGAAAGGATAAACAGAAGTCCTAGCCAGCTCAGTACATATCAATACAAGGAAACAGCATCAGACTCAGCCAAAATGGAGACAATCACTCTTCTTTCAAGGACAGCTGCTCAGGTGGTCCTCCACAATTGTGGCTACAAGTGTGAATTACACTTTATAGGGCAAAGAAGGAAGTGGAAGAGTTCACTCTAGATAACCTAGTTCTACTTTCCATGGTACTTAAATCTAGCCCTAGAAGTGAAAGAGAAAAAAAAAAATAATAATACCACATAATACAAGGTCTTGTTATGTTGCCAGGCTGGTTTCCAGTTCCTGAGCTGAAGAGATCCTCCCATCTCAGCCTCCCAAGTAGCTGGAACTACAGGTGCACACCATCATGCCAAGTACATAACCTTACCTCTTCTACTTTCTCTTCTTCCTCCTCTTCCTGCTGAGGTTGCTTAGCCTCATTTTCCCCTTCATCCTCTTGAACAGGCTTGTCTACTTCAGGATCAATTAATTGTTTTATAATGTCCTATGCAATGAAACAATATTATAATTATGCTCTAGTTTATAGAAACATTAGCAATTATTTATTCAAATGTATTAAATGAGCAGTAATCCTGCAACTAGTGATAAGAACACAGGCTAATAAAAATGGTTCCTATCCTTTAGAAACTTAAAATTTGAGGACAAGAAAATGTTCCAGCTGGACATGGTGGTATACATATTTAATTCCAAAACTTGAAAGGCTGAAGCAGGAAGACAGCTGTTAGTTTAAAGCCAGTTCAGACTACAGAGTAAGTTCAAGGCCAGCCTGTACTACATAGCAACACCTTAGCTGAAAAAAAAAAAATTCTGGATGTATATAGTTATTTAGTGGAAGCACCCAATGTGACCAGGTAGAGATGTGGGTAATAGAAGAGGTTAAGGAAGTCTCCTGTACAAGATAATATCTGAGATTTTTCTGGTATGAGGAAGGGCAAGAAGAAAGCACAATGACCTAGGCAGAGGATGCTGTGTGTGCATGACTGGTTATGAGAACACAAGTGGGCCGTTCAATAAGCCAGAAACTCTAAGGCAAATGGACGGGGATACACACATAGAGGTAGGGCTAGATTGTCAGGCCAGGGAGAATGGAGTTTTATTCTCAAGGGAAGAAGACAGAAAAGAATTGCTAGCTCTACTTTACATTTTAAAACAATCACTCCAACAACAAGAAAGCAGATATAGAGAAAGAAAAGAAGAGAGGAGGAAAGCAAGGAAGGGAGAAAAAGATGCAGAGGGAAAGGACACAAGGGAAAAATGAACACAGTGTTTCAAAGATGAAGCAAGAGAAGATTTAAGAGATGCTTTAGAGCTATGGGCCGGGGAGATAGTGCAGTAGAATAAGCACTTGCCTGGCAAGCACAAGGTCCTGAGTTCAATCCCTGGTATTGCCAAAAAAAAAGAGCTAATGATTAAGGATTGATTAGATGGGCATGTGACAGTGACAGGACAGGAACATCTTAAATGTGGCTTATTGTTGGTGCCACCAGGTAGGTGATGATGCCACTCACAGAGGTAATGAGCAAAGTTGGATATTCAGGTGTGGGGAGTGAGACTCAGGTCAGGGCGTGTAAGCTGTACTATCACCGAATGCCAAGTTAAATTTGAGAAAAGAAAGATTGTAAACATAGTCAGGCCTGAAAAACAGATCAAGTAAGATTTCAGCAACTAAGTTTAAAAACTCAACAGACAAGGACCAGGGTTTGATCCCTGGTCCCACATGCCACCAGCCCTGCCCCTGCAGTAAACTGAGCCTGCGACTGAGTCTGGGCGTGGTGGTGCATGCCTGTAATCCCAGCGCTGGGGAGACTGAAAGCAGAAGGATCACTATGAGTCTGAGCTGCATAGTGAGACCCTGTACCAAACCTCAACAGAAAGATTTGTTAGTAGATTAAATTCAACTGAACAGTAAATTAGTAAAGTGAAGATAAGCCAGAAGCAATGATCTAGGATAAATGCAGATCAGTGGAAAATATGAAAGAAGGTTAAACAACTTGGGGGATAGATTCTAACATACATTGATGCTGAGTTCTGAAGATGAAAGAGAAGGTAATAATAGAGGCAATGGATAAAGTAGAGACCATAGATGAATACCTGATGCTATGGTCCAAAGTCCACATATTGGAAACTTACTCCTCAATGCAACAACATTGAGAAATGGAGCCTGAGGTCACAAGGTCTCTGTCCTTATGAATACATGCTGTTACTGTGGGAGTGGCTTAGCTTGTCCAGGAGTGCATTTCTTACAAAAGGATGAGTTCACACCCCTCATTGCACATGTGAGGATGTGCACATGCCGTATTTCACCACTCAGCCATTGGATGGTACAGCAATTGACATCTGATGTTTGCTGTAAACAACTCAGCTTGGGTTATGCTGTTATAACAGCACAAAGCAGACTAAGACAGCTGTGAGAAGAATTTTCCAAATGTAATAGAAGACAGCAAGCAAAAGATTCAGGAAGCCAAGAGAATCTCAAGGCAAATTAAGTGAAAAAAGAATCCACATCAATATCCATATCCATCACAGTGATATTGCAAAATGTCAAAGACAAAAAAATCTTACATGTTTCCAGAGAAAAGACATGGATTTACTTTAAAGCACTTGACAACTGGATTCTCAATAGTCAGTCTTACAATAACAGTGTCATGAAAGTAATATTAAAAGTGTGCTCAGAGAAATGACCCTGTTTACAGATTGTTTTTAGAGTGATGTAGAAGAGATTAAAGATGTAGAAGAGAGGACATTGGACAGAATAAGTGAGCAGTAAAAGTGTTTGGGTGCATGATTTCCATCTCAAGAAGAAAAAAAGTTGCAAGTACTCTTGCTCAGAACCAAAACTCACTGTGTGGCCAAGGCTGGCCTCGAACTTACAGTGATCCTCCTGATTCAGCCTCCTGACTACTGGAATTGTCAAAATTCTTGTCTGATATAGTAACTGATGAAGAGGCAGGACACTGGTTGAAAACAGTTGCTCACATTATCTACTAAAGTACAGGAAAAAATTGAATAATTACAGATGCTATCTTTTGTAAACAGAATAATGCTAACACATGGTAAATACTTACCTCTTCTTCAAGTAGTTTCTCTTTTTCTTCAGTTGTCAGTAATTTCATTTTTTTGTCTTTGAGCTCAGAAAGGAGGAGAGAGCATGTGTTGATCCATTCATAACATTCTTTCTGAGAAGAGATAAAAGATAATTTCTAGGCAGGAAAAGAATCACATCATACCAACTCATTTGTTAACTCACTCCTATTGATGAACTACTAAATCTATCCTCTAAGTCTATCTCCCTTCAATTAACTTTCTATTAAGATAAGTTTGCCATGCCTTTGTTACTATAACTGAGCCCTTCTGGATTCAGAGGGTTAGGATGACATCTATGGAAAATCATGATGAGGACCAGACAGGCCAGGTAGAGGTATTAGGTTTTAGCTCTAACCTCACCTAATTAGTTGTGAGTTCTTGAATAAACCTAGCAGGCTTCATCTGTTTTTAGCAATGAAGTTGGTTGTTGGCTTACTTTAGGTGACCTCCACGCAGTGGTGAGCTGGTGACTGTTTAACAAACATCTCTGAAGGAAAGAGACAGGGAGACACATAGAGAGAGAGAAAAGAGAGAAGAGAGAAGAGAGAAG